TACCTTTTTTACATTTAAAAAGTGCACTTAATGTATATTCCTTACCTTGGCAAAATGTTTGAGACATCATTCTTGATGGTGAAATACCATCCTAGTAGGGTTGAGGTTTCTGAAACATTGTATCTTGCCGTATTATGATCTTTGCCCACATTGATCATGAAGAATCAATGGCTGTGATAATTGAAGAGAACATCTCAGTGCCTTTTATGAGCTTTCATAAGATGTTATAGAGAAACTCTCCCAAGTCTGAAGCGAATCTTGGCCATCGACTGAGAATATGCCTTGCGTAGGGGTCTGAGTTTAGTTGGTTTTTATGAAAACCAGGACAATTGTGAAGTTGATATGCTGTGTAACCCCATCCTAACCTTTACAGAGACAGACCAATCAGAGAACGGAGATGGATAGAGTGAAGGAACGACTGGAGAACACTTGTGCCTCCCGTGGATTTTTTGCAGCTGATTAAAAACAGTCACATCTCATCTAATACTGCTGAACAATATTGGTTGCCAGATGCCTTTGATGCAAGAATGGAAGACATTCATACTCTCAAGTCTTCAGTTAAACTGTATTTAAACATTTGCCATTACAATCATATTACAATGAATTTGATGTATACAATTTTGAAACTTTAATTTTGAGCAATCAATGCTTAGGGAATCAAATTAATTATATGGATAAATTAACTTTCATATATTGCCGCCTTTTGCATTCTTAAAGAGACTTACATAAGAGAATTTATGTTATACAATGTTTAAGAATGCCTCAATTTTTGGTTAAGAAACCTTTCTTGGTTTATCGTGGTTAGGTTTTAGAACCATGAAAGACCCTCTAGAACAGAGGAGGGGTCATAGATCGGCGTATTAGATATAATTCTACTCTTCTGGAGATTCTTTTACTGAATCTGACCTCTCATAATGGGCAACAGGGATAGGCTTTCATAAAGAGTTTTGGTTGCTGTGATTTTGCCAAGTAAGACATGTTCCTGGATCAACATCTTTTGTTGTACATGGATCAACATTACTGTCCAAAAATATAGACTAAACCCAATCCCTACCCCTAAACCTAACCCTACCCATAATTTATTCCTAAAATCAGTGTGAAATGATAGCTGATTAACAAGGGTGCACTGTAAAAAAAATTCCGTAAAATTTACGGTAAAAAACCGGCAGCTGTGGTTGCTGGAATTTTACCGTAAAAAATACGGTAGCAACGTTTTAGGTTTTACGGTTTTAACTTAAATTTACAGTTAAATACCGTAATTTCATTAACTGATATAATGTTAATATCAACAAGGATGTTGATCCGGGAACATGTTGTACTTGGTCAAATCACAGTCACCAAGAGTTTTATAAGCAGATTGAGGCATGAACCGGTCTTATAGGGATCAGCTGTCCAAAGTTGCACCATGTGCTGCTGAGTACTGTTTGTCCTTGTCTGTGAATCTGCAACTGTCAGAGACTGGACCACTGTGTGATTTCCTAACTAAACACAGGCGTCTTCTGATGTCTATGCTGTGTGTGAGTTTTCTGACTGCACAACAATCACAAACATCTTAGGAATAAATTAGTTTTTCTGTATGATTCCTCACGAGACTCCGTAATGAAGATGTGCTGTGGTGGCTGTGAATTGATTGAAGTGACCACCCACGGTCTGCTGGCTTTATCGAACTCATTTCTCGTGGTATTTCCTTTGGTAATAAAGATGGGAGCAAAAGAGAACTAGAGAAAGAGTGGTGTGGAATGATAAAGCGCTGGATATCTGGTTTGCATTTCTTTATTCCTTTATCATTTCACCCTGGAGGTGCTGCAAGAGGGAATTTCCTGTCGCTGTTTCTCCCATGTGTGAGATGGATGGCCATAGACCCCCCACACCTCCCCACCTCCCCCCGACATAATGCAGTGTAGCCAATCACACATACAAAGCAACATACTGACAGCATCAACAAATAATGACAACCAGACACAGCCTCAGTAAAGACACAAGGCCACAGACCTAATCTGAAAGTATTTCAGTTAGCTACTATACGTTTGGATGGATGGATGGACAGACAAATAGATGAAAGTATAGATAGATAGATAGATAGATGAATGTACGGATGGATGGATGGAATGGACAAATCGATGAATGTATAGATAGATAGATAGATAGATAGATAGAATTATGTGAATATATAGTGCACATACTTAGGTAAATCAAAAGAGAAATAAAAGGGGAAGAAAAACAGCTGGAAACATCTGCTTCTGGGCTCCTTGTCCAGCTTCCATTTTTTGATGTGGGATAAAGAGAAAAAGAGAAAGGGAAAGAAAAAACAAGGAGCCAGCTACCCAGAACATCAAAGCCGTTGCTTAAATGTGCAAGCCCTCATTAGCTCTGCAAGCCTAACCAACCCGACTTATGATTGTGTTTGCTGGGGTGCACTTTGGCAAACACTTCAGAGGAGAGGCTCCTTTAAATTATAACTCCCACCTCACCCCCCACCCCCCGGCCCAGCTCTCTGCTCCCTCCCCACTGTAGCCTCTTCTGCCCACCCCATAACCCCCAAAACTCCCAGTGCACACAAACACAGCACTCCCCCCCCATACAGCACTCCACCCTATAATCTGGTGTGCAGCTGCAAGCATCTGTTCCACTCCCTCTCTTTTCCTAACCACTGAATTGATAAACACATCAATCATAAAGCCACTGACACACGATGGACCGTGTGAAGCAACACGGGAACAGAGTTTCCTTTTCATCTGGACTAAGTCTGGGCAGGCACTGTGTGCTTAATTACTGTTTAAAATGCTATATTAATTTTTCATTAATATATTGATGCATGAGAATTAGCACCACATTATAAATAATTCGATTGATCATGTCATGATTTCTTGTAGTGTTCAGTTTAACCGTACAATCTTTACTCAATACAGAGTGATCTTTTGCTTATTCTCTGCTGATAATCTGGCATGCATCTACTGAGTAATTTGGCAGCCTGAGGAAATCAGCTATACTTGCTGCCAAGTTCTGTAATTTGGCAGCATCTAGCAGGTTACTTATTCATTAGGTTCAGTCATAGCTGAATAATTAATCACAATATGGAAATGTGCTTCCAAACACTTGCAGCAACAGATCCTTCAGCCGTAAATTATCACATAATACACATTTCAGGAGGAAACTTCTTCAAAATGTTCAGATTATTGAGACACGAGACTAAACACGTAACACAATTTGCATACCACAATTTTGCCTGCCAACTTTATCAGAGTAACTGATATGATTTAGAGATCATGAGAATGTTCTTTACACAAATGTACCATTTTTATTCTTAGTTTTATCAAACTTAAGACATTACGTTATCTGTCTGTACCACATAAATCACCTGTCCTCAGACCTCAAAGCTAGAGATTAAAATATATGATTAAACTTAAAAACAGAAAACAGAAATATAAATATGTATGCATATAAATATGAAACATAAAAACAGAAATATAAATATGTATCTCAAGAAACGTTAATGATATTTTCCCCGTTTTTTTGTTGTTGTTTTTTTTTAACAGCTGTGTCCTTTTTGTCAATACTGTTAGATATTTATGAAACATATAAATAGATATTTATCATGTAACATCAAAATATGCTTTCAGGTCCTGAAGGTCACATTTAACCAGTTATGAGTTCAACAAGGTCACGCAGACTCTATTGAATTTATATATATATATATATATATATATATATAGGCCCTATGTGTGTGTGTGTGTGTGTGTGTGTGTACATGTTTTTCTATCCCAGTGGGGAATTAAACCTGAATACAGACTGACTCATGGGGAAACAAGCTTATAAATCATGCAGAATTATTATTATTTATTTATTTATTTATTTTGAGAATGTAAAAATGCAGAAAGTTTTCTGTGAGTGGTAGGGTTGGTGTATGGCTATAGAATATACGGTTTGTACAGTATAAAAACCATTACGCCTATGGAGAGTCCCCACAAGAATAGCAAACCAGACGTGTGTTTGTGTGTTTGCCTGCAGTGCTCAGTGTGAGCTCTAACATGATGTGACATGCAGAGCAGCCGTCGCAGGTTTGGTATAAATGATTCACGCGTGTCAGTCAGTGAT